AATGGACGATGACCCTAAACATAGCGCCAGATTAGTTACAAAGAGGCTTCAGGACAACAAAGTCAATGTTTTGGAGCGGCCATCACAAAGCCCTGATCTCAGTCCTATAGAAGATTATTGGGCAGAGCTGAAAAGGTGTGTGGAGCAAAGCTTTTGTTGAGTAGTTTTGGATACATTTTAAATCCTTTTGTACAAATTTTGGTTACATTTTTGACAGTTTAAAGTCACTTTGTTTTGAAATAAAACGTTCCAATTTCAGATTTACCTGAAACCATCTGAGTTTATGTACCTGGACTGTTTCTTTTGAGAACACTTCACATCAGTATCACAGTCGGTCATGTTCAATTGAGTGTCATTAATATTCTATCAACTGTGCAGCTCCTCAGCGGACTTTTTGCTGTTTCTGCTCATTTCACTGAGGACATGTGGAGCTGCAGGTCTTTCAATAAAGTGAAATGAAAACTCAGGGAATCCAACAAGCTTTAAACTAAATGGTGTTTGATGGACTGATAAATGATGATTCATTACCTGCTCATGTTGGACATGTCTGTTCTTCAGCAGCAGAACCTGCAGAACCACACAAACACACTGATTATAGTGTCAGTATCCAAGATGGCGCCGCGGATAGCAGCCTCGGCACTGCGCTCCCTAGGAACCAAACTGTTCTCCCTCCTCCCCTCTGGCAGGCGATACAGAGTCCTGCAGACTAAAACCACCAGACACAAAAACAGTTTTTATCCCACTGCCATAACCCTACTGAACAGCTGAGCCACTCCAAGCCACAACTGCTATTTGCACTTCCATTTTGCACTAATGTACATATACCTTTTCTACTAGATGTGTAAATTCTTGTATATACTTGTCTTATTATCCTGTTTTATTTTTTAGTAATATTTATTGTATTTTATTCTTTTCTTTCTGTAGTTATTTTACTTTATTTTATTTTATTTTTTAATTATCCTATTTCTATTATTCGTGCAAATTCCTAGGGCGACACCACCAGCCGAAACCAGATTCCTTGTATGTTGTGTACGTACTTGGCCATTAAAGCTGATTCTGATTCTGATTCTGATTATTACTTGCTGCCAGAAACACAGAGTCACATTTAGTTCTGCATCATGTAAAGTCAGTGAATCTGGAAATGTTAGTGGTGCCCTGCACTGCAAAAAACTATCTGGATTTTTACTGAAACACATCCAGAACTTCACAGATTTTACTGAAAAATGTGTAAGTTTACAGATTTTACTGTCATTTTTAAAATACATATAAACATCAGTAACATTACAGAAACAGATTTAATAGAATGTTCACCTCAAATGTAAAATAACATTCAAAAACCTGTTTCTAAGAGGAAAATCAGAGAGAAAGAGAGAACCCACACAGGAGAACTGAAATTATACCACCACAACCACGGCGATTATGTTGTAAATGTGCTGGCTCCGGTTGGACAACAACTTTAAAAAAAAACACTTTAAAATCGCAAGATACGCTCCACCGTTACCATCCATGTTTAAGTATATACACACGTATACGTAAGGGATAATGCCCGACGAGGTGTCCATTATCAGAAAATAATGGACGACGCGGAGGCGTGAACCGTCCGACGCGAAGCGGAGGACGGTTGCTTCCGCGAAGTCCATTAATTTCTGATAATGGACACCTCGAAGGGCATTATCCCGCTTATACCATGGTCACTTACGAAAGATATTACTAAATAAATATTAAATCAATTATTAATACTTTAATGTTGTTTTTTACCGTTAAAATCGTAAGTTTTCCACAACAAGCGGCTGAGCGGACTATTTCATGTCTCTCGTTGTGACGCGTTGCCAAGGTAACCGGTCGGCCGCAGCTGTTATTGCTGTCTTGCCGTTGTGATAAATAAACTGAAATAACGTATATTAACGTATGTTCTGAGTTTCTGTTGCCACGATTACCAACTACCGTTTGAGTCAGCGCATTAATTTAGAACAATCAGGTTATTTGACCGGAACTTCTTTATAGGTGTCGTATATCACTTGTTAATGGACACCCTGCAGCCAATCAGAATCGAGTATTCACCCAGACCATGGTATAAATACACATAAATAATCAAACAAATAATTCAAATGGAACACTGTTATGGTACATAATGTGCATATGTAAAAGGTGCCCGTTTATATTCCACAGTCCGGTTTTAAAACTCAGAGTTGAGCAAACGGATGGCCTGAGGGAAGAAGCTCTTCCTCATTCTCTCAGTGGCTGTCTTCAGGCAACGATAGTGTCGGCCTGATGGCAGCAGGGAGAGAAAAGAGTTATATAGCAAAACAGTGTTCCATTTGCTGTATTTATTTGATCATTTATGTGAATATATACATGTGTAAATATACGTAAAGTATTTATACTTCTCTACCTTTTATTTTATTTTTTATTATTTTTTATTTTTCTTTAATTGAAACTGGATGCTGGTACAAAATACATTCCACTGTACATTGTACCGTGTATAAATACGTATGTGACAAATAAAGCTCATCTTGAATCTCATACTTCCGCAAGCATGTGACGTCATTGTGTCCTCTTCTGCGCATGCGGGACACCTTTGATTTTGTATGGACTTCACACAGGAGATCACATACAAGTCACATTTAATTAGAAATGTAAACTCGCAAAAAAAAATATGGGGAAAAAATCTGAAATGAGCATTAAGTCCTGCAGTCTGAACGCAGCTTTTGTAACATTTTTCATGGGGAAGTGGTGTTAATGGCACTAATCTCAAAAAATAAATCAAAGTGGAGTTCAATGCAAACCAGGATTTATACAGTGCCTGGAACATTTGTTTAGTGATATTTTTCGTACGGTAGTGATATTGGCACGAATATAAAAACTAAATCAAAGTGCACAACCTCAAGGAAACTCAGACAAACTTACTGGTTTGATTTCCTTTTTTCTCCGCAGACTCAAAGTGAAAGTAAAAGATTCTCTGTACGAGTTTCCCTGACGCTTCACACAGACGATAAAAATCAGATTCTCGGAGTTTCTGCGTCACTTCAGGAGGTTTTCTGGATAAAATCCTTCGTGTAGATTAAAAAAAACGTTTCCCGAAAATCTTCTCACGCAGCAAACATTTCGCGCACATGAACGCGCAATCCGGATGTGTTCCTACTCCGCTCACAGTGTAGATCGCGCATCAGACCGGCGCTGACTGGAGACAGCAAAGTATCCCATGATGCATTTCACTGCAACCAGCGGCAAAAGACAAACTTTCAAAAGTAATATAAGTTCTTTTTCGTAAACACTACTGTTATTGTGGCACAAAATGTAGATTTAAAATCATTTTAGAAATTTGTGGTATAAGCGTCAAGTATGTGGTCAATTTATCAAGACAAAACCTGCTTTAAGTGTTGCTCCAATGAGGCGTGAGCGTCCTGGTTTGACAGCTGTGACGGAGCTCAGTGTTCACAGCAGCCGCCGAGAGCAGCCTGATGTCGGCAAGACTGTTCAATCTGCCTCTGACGGTTCTGTAGCGGTTCAACAGGGAAGCACTTTGTCGTTTATCTCAGTCAAACTCTGGCCTCATTGTGTCATTTATTTATTGTTCACAGAAAGGTCAGTTTGAAAGGAGCTCATATCGGAACTTTATATTGTTATTAACGCTGGACTCGATCGCTGCCTGCCTTCATTACCTGCAGTCCATCCTTGTTCCATTTAATGACTGTAACTGCATTACAAATAACATTTAAGCTGTATTGTAGTGGAGGGACAGCTGGATGAACCAGGTCCTCCCTGACTGCTGGAAGACTCCAGAGAACATGAGCAGCTCCATCCTGGACCTTCTGACGGAGCTTCTTCAGCAGCACGATGCTGTTCATGGAAGCTGGAGGCTGATCAACTCCACTGAAGAACATCAGGAGGAGGAGAGGAGCTATGCTGTTCATCTGTCACATGTTTTGTAGGAGACCTTAGTCCTGTTATAAAATGAAATCTTAAAAAACAAATTACCCTGTTTATTAATTGTTGTATTTATTCTATATAGTTCTTGTGTATTTAAGTATTTTTGCAATTAATTATTTTTCAACTGTATTCTAAAGATTTGCTGTCAAAAAATCAACGCTTGTAAAACATTAAATAAAGATTGTATAACGATCTCAGAAACCTCAAAATGTGCTGTGTTATTCTCCATCATTATCTGTACACCACTTAATCCTCACTAGGGTCGTGGGGGGCTGGAGTCTATCCCAGCTGACTCAGGGTGAAGGCAGGGGACACCCTGGACAGGTCACCAGTCTATCACAGGAATGCACATGTTATTCTATTTTATTTAATGTAGTTGTTTTTCCCGGTAAAGACGATCAGAGTAGATGAGCCGAGCTGGTGGCATCAAGTATGCTGCTGTTCCAACTGCACATTAACCATGATGTGTTCTCCCGTTCTCGCAAGTCCGTACGACTAAGGACTTGGAAGTACGGACCGTACGAAGGAAAAATAAGTCAGTGAGAACATTCAGGACACAGTGAGAAAAAATTAGACCACAGTGAAAAAAAGCTAGACCACATTGAGATTAAAAAAAATGTCTACAGTGAAGAAAAATATCCACAGTCAGGGACCATGAGGCCATCGTAAGAAAAAGTTAGACCACAGTGAGATTTTTTTTTTTTTAAATAAAATGTCTGTGGGTATGAGGAAAAATGAGGCCACACTAAAGAAAAATGAGATCGAAGCATAAAAACCACCCAGAAACTGCTGCAAGAAGCCCAGAGGGTTAAATGTGCTTCATGAGAAAACAGTTGTAGTTCTCCTGTGTGGCTTCTCTCTGGTCTTTTGTAATATTTATATTTGTCAGGTCCACTGGATGATTCACTGCTGCTGTGGAAATCAAAGTGGAGTGAAGGAGGTCAGCCTGAGGAGAACGTCCTCACAGAGATAGACAGAAATGTGTGTGTTTGTGACTGATGCAGGGTTTCCGGTAAAGTTCATGAACCTGATCACAACATGATGCAACAGGCTGCAGCTGTTTATTGAATCAATAAACACGCCGAAGCCACACAGTCTCCAACGAAACCAGGAGCTGCAGACCGCCATGGAGGTTCTGAGGGTTCTGCTGGTTCTGGCTCTGCTGCTGGGTTCTGTGCAGCGTTCAGGTGAGTCCAGACTTTTAGCTTCAAACCTGCTGAGCTCATGGAGTTTGGTGCTTTGTCATTCTCCAAACTTCTCTCTGTGACTTTGTTTTACAGCAGATTCAGATTCTTCAAACTGTTTTAAAAAAAAATCTGTGAAACGAAGATAAAAATCTGCACATGGAGGTGAAAATAAATAAATAAATAAATAAATAAATGCTGGAATAATGTAAGCTTTAAAAAAATGGAGAATATTGTTTTTTTTGTTGAGTTTTTTTAAGCAAAATTGTGTAATTTTACAGTAAAACGTGAAAGAACAAATTATTTTTTGAATTAGACGTTATTTACAGTTTCATCCTGTTTGTTTGTTCTTTTAGTTACTGTCAACAACCTGCACAGAGCTGTTTGTTATTTATGTTTGATCAGAAAAGTTACACATTTTTATTGTATTTAAATAACCAAAAATCTATATTTATTTTACAGATATTTGCTGTTGTTTGAAAGAAAAATGTGTGTTTTAAGGATTGAAAAATGGTAAATAATTTAGTACTTCTGTGTGCGGTTACAGACAATATCTGGTAAAATCACAGGAAGAAGTATTTCTTTACATGCTAGCCAGAAAAAGACAAAAAAAAAACATTAAAAATTGGTATTTAATAAATAGTATTTTGTTATTTCACAACATTTGACTGTAAATTTAACAGTTTTACTGTATTTAAATCTTCCAAAAATAATATTTTACAAAAATTTGCAGTTGTTTAAAAAGAACAATTATGTATATTTATATTAATTAACAAAAAAAGGGCCAAAATTGTAAATAATGTCCACATCAAAAGTCTGTTTTTTTATCAGACTATTTGTTCTTTTACAGTGTGTGGGTGTAAAATGACGCAGTTTTATTTTGTTTCCTGCATTTAACTACAACAACCTTTTCACTGAGTTTCCTGCAGCGTCGTTATGTGTCGTTATATCCAACAGCACTGACTCACAGTAAAACGCTAAAATGATAAAACAAAATGTGACTTCTTATCTCATATAATTATCTTTTAAACTGACAAACATCTCATGTGTGATTCATGCCACACAAGTGAACAAGTGATTTATGAAGGATCTATTCTTTACAGCATGTTTGCACAGAGCTGGAGACGAGCAGGTTGAAACTTGTCACCAGTTCACCACAACACGAACATAAACACACACACCAGACACAAACGTTCGGCTTCAATAGAATCATCAAACAAGATGAGCGTGCGTTTTTGAGAGCAGAAACAGTTCAACACGAGTCCAGCTGCTGAGTTCATGAACCGAATCCTCAGAGTTTCACTTCTGCTGCCGGCTGTTCTCCATCAAGAAAAAGAAGAAGTTCCTGCAGCAGCTGCTACAAACTGAAACCATCTCACGTTCATGTTTGTTTGGAGGTTTACAGGAAAATTGTGCAACTTTTACTGAAACATGAACAAACTTTCCTCAGTGTTGCAACCCTGGGAGACCTCCTCTGACCAGCATTTGCATGTTAGTATTTCTGTCTTTGTGAGGACCCTTGTTGACATAATGGATTCCCATAATGCATGTGAACCTCAACCTGAAGTCCACAACCAGGTGTGGAGCCTCAAACCGCCCTTTGAGGGTCAGAACTCAGAGTGAGGACAAGAGTCATAACTAAAGACATCATGTACTTTCAAATACCGCAGGGCTTCAAGGTTGTTTAAACTTTTTTCTGCTTGAATATGAGCTGAGACATCATCATCATCATTTTCAAATGAAATCTAAAAATGGACAAAGAATCCAATTAAACAGATGGAATCATGACAGAACCAATCAGGTTTGGGCCTGCTTTGTACATCTGGATCAGCACAACTGACTGATCAATGAATTCTGAATTATATCAGCGACACACAAACAGTGACACACAGTCAGAAACACAAAGCACTCGGCTGCAAACTGACGAAACCATCAAAAGCACATCATCTGGTCTGCTGTCTCCTCAAGATCCTGTCCATGAACACCACAAACGAGATCAGAGACCAGAGGAAACCCTGGAGGAGTCCAACACCCACCTGTCAGTGTTACCTGGCTTTGGTCGACCAACTGACCAGTCAGAGTGGAGGTTTTCAGGAGGGGGAGGAGCTAAAACAGAGCGCTTTAGATGGAAGAGCTGCTCAGCTGTTTAATTTTACCTGTGTGTGTGTGTGTGTGTGTGTGTGTGTGTGTGTGTGTGTGCATACAGAGTGTGTGCGGTGTTTTGCACGTTTCCACCTGTCCTCAGGTGAGTGCGATGAAGAACTCGGTGAGGTGGACGAAGATGACTGCTGTCAAAACCCAAACTATGGTTACCAGGCAACAGATGGATGTCAGTCCTGTGGGTCAGTGCACACACACACACACACACACACACACACATAAATACACGCACACAAACAGACACACACAGAAACACAGTAACCTCCTTTGTCAAACTTAATTTCCAGCAAAAAAAAAAAACAGGATTAATAAAGTTTTGTTTGATTTTATATTCAAATCAGTCATAAAGTGTGTGTGTGCATATGTGTGTGTGTGTGTGTGTGTGTGTGTGTGTGTCAGTCCTCCAGCCTGGTCTCCGTGGTCACCATGGTCACACTGTAACGTCCTGTGTGGGCGGGGAGTGAGGCAAAGGAGCAGGAAGTGCTTCGGCATTGGCCAGGAGTGTGACAACGCCAACAACAACCTGCAGATAGAACCGTGCAACGGAACCTGCTGTGAAGGTACACACACAGAGATACACACCAATACACACAGTAACATATAAACACACTGACAGCTACACACAAACACACACAGTAACACATGCATACACACTCACACACACACTCACACACACACTAACACACAGACGCACACCAACATTAGCAACATAAACATTTTATTTGAACATGTTCGTGTGTGTGTGTGTGTGTGTGCGTGTGTGTGTGTGTGTGTGTGTAGATAGTGGGTGGGGCCAGTGGCTCCCCTGGTCTCCATGTTCAGTCACCTGTGGAGGAGTTGGAGTCAGGAGGAGAGAGAGACTCTGTTCCAGTCCTCCTGAGTGTCGCTTGTCCTGCAGTGGACCTTCGCAGGAGACAGAGAACTGTGCAGCTCACAACAAATGTCCAGGTAACCTGATACAGGCTGCAGACTTCAGAGTGTCTGAACAGGTGATGCTGCTGCAGGTGGTGTTAAAGGGAAAACTGTCTCCACCTGTCTGTCTCTCAGTCCACGGCGGTTGGTCCAGCTGGTCTGGTTGGTCTCATTGTTCCGGTTCATGTATCGATGACCAGCGTGGTGATGTCATCGCCCCCTCCAGAAAGCGACATCGTTCCTGCTCTAACCCCGCCCCCTCCAATGACACAGTGCCACCTGGCAATAGTTGCCCTGAAGACGACGTCCAGACGCAGGTTTGCAGCGAGCTGCCCAACTGTCCAGGTGAGACGGGAGCTGATCAGCGACCTGATGTGATACACAGTTCAAGGTGAGGTGACGTGTGCTCTGATTGGCTGTCTCTGCAGTGGACGGCAACTGGGGGGTGTGGTCTCTGGGTGGGCCATGCTCTGTCTCCTGTGGGGAGGGGCTCCAGCTGTCAACGAGGAAGTGTGATAGCCCCGCCCCTAAATATGGCGGCCGGTACTGTGACGGGCCGAGCACCCAGAGCAGCATCTGTCAGAGTCCGTGTCCTGTGGATGGGTTCTGGTCCGGCTGGTCCAACTGGGGTGAATGTTCTGCCTCCTGTATCCCACAACGCCAAACTCCAGTCAGGAGTCGCCGCCGTTCCTGCTCTAACCCCGCCCCTTCAACATCACCACGCGGAGCAGGTTGTCAAGGTGACAACCACCAGGTGGAGAACTGCAACCACCTGCCTCACTGTAAAGGTACTCTTGTCTGTCTACCTGTCTAACTGCCCGCCTACCTGTCTCTGTGTCAAAGGACAGACAGTAACTCTATCTTTGTCTGTCTGTCTGTCTTCCTCAGTGGATGGGGTTTGGGGGTCTTGGTCGCCTTTCACGTCCTGTCCTGTTACCTGTGGAGTGGGGCTTCAAGTGTCCACCAGAAACTGTGATAGCCCCACCCCCCTACATGGCGGCCGTCCATGTCCAGGAGAGGGACGTCGGACCAGCATCTGTTCTACTAACATCCACTGTCCAGGTACCCCAGGTCACTGAATAATGGTGAAGTTGGAGACAAGTGCCACCTTTGTGTCTTAATGTGGGTCTGTCTGTCCTCAGTGGACGGCATGTGGTCAGAGTGGTCGAATTGGAATGAGTGTAAATACCCGCATCGTGGGCGGGACATCCGCTGTACGCAGAAGGGCGGCAGTCAGAATCGAGTCCGTGAGTGTCTCCATAGAGCTCATAACGGGTCCATCTGCAGCGGAGACAGTCTGATGGAGAGACGGGTCTGCTACGATGTCGACAAATGCTACGGTGCGTCAAACTGAAACTAAACCCAACCTGGAGAAACATCCTCACAGTACAGAAATGTCCTCACAGTGTATAAAAACTTAACAGTGCAGAAATATCTTCCCACACAGCAGCAGCAGAACTGATGACTGATTTTAAACCTTTATAAAGCATTGATAATTGATCGATCAGGTGAAGTTTATAACGCATGGATAACTGATGGACCAGGTCTATCTGTGTTACAGTGAAGGGCAGCTGGGAGGGCTGGGAGATGTGGAGTTTGTGTCAACCAACTTGTGGAGAAAAATCCAGACGAGTAAGAAGGCGATTCTGCAAACCTGATTACAGCAACTACAGGTAAGTCTATTAATCACACAGAAGCAGAGGATGCAGGAGGATGCAGGGAGACGCAGGACGACACATCGCTGCCAGAGACTGCAAATCAAATGATCCTACAAGAGAAAGTGTTGTATAGTCAACGTCCAGCAGCGTTTGGAGTGAGGTTGAACTGAGGTTAAAAGAGATGCAAAATGAACACAAATAAATGCAAACACGGATCAAACAACTGGTACAACACAGAAAACGACAACCAAGAAACAAAATGGCATAACAGTGTTGCAAAGAGACAAACAAGGTGACACTGAAGTCGTCCTGGTGCTTTAGAGTCACTGCAGAGCAGAACTTCTCAGAGTTGTGTTTGAAGTGAAGCAGCTCAGAGTTTCAGCCTGATGCTAAACCTGAAGTCTTTCTCACCGTTCTTCTGTTATCAGCTGTTTCATTTGTCAAAAAAGCATGAAAATGGAGGACATTCATACACATTTTCTGAGAGAAGAATAAAGCACATTCTTGTCAAACACTCAGGATGGAAACTGCTTACTTACTAAAGGTCCTTTAATGATGCTTTAATAAAACAGTGTTTGTAATTTCATAGATCTTGAAGATGTGTTTGTTTGATCCAGACTTGATCCTGATGAGCAGCTTCTTTCTGTTTTCAGTCCCACCATCGGCCGGCAGCACGAGAAGGCCACGTTCGTCGGGACTCCGCGGGCCGACTGTGGTTTGGCGCCTGACGGAGGACAGAAGTTCCAGGTGGAACCCTGCGTCAACGCTCCAGCCTGCAGCTAAAGCAGCTAACCGATGGCTTCAACAACCCTCCCCACATCACCAGAGCTCACTGTGATCGCCGGCGCTGTTACAATTATCAGCATTATCAGATTATTCACCCTGATGCTTCATCGGTGGACAGTTGACAGTCGAGGCCCTGTGAAGGATCACCACAAATAACCGAAGAAGGAGCTCAAGTCTTTTTAATGTTTTGAATTTGCTGTGAAATGTTGGCTTCTTTGGCTTTTGAACATTTGCTTTTTTTCCCCCATCAGTGCTGTACGGCTTATATTGTGCAGATAAAATCTCTGCAAACTTCCTTTGGATTTATAATCAATGGGTTTGAAATCCCTGTTCAGCCAGTTGTCCGATGATAACCTGGTTTAGGTTGAATATTTCTGTTTGCTTCACGTGCTCATCTGACGAAAAATCAGCAGTGTTGAGATGTTATTTGCTTTCACAATAAAAGGCTGTGAATTAATCAGCGTGCCTCTAAAAATGTGCTTTTCTGGAACTCTGATTTGTTTCTCAGGTTCAGTCGCTGTGGTAAAGAACTTCAGTCCACAAAGGAACCCTGACACGACTAAATGTACTGCATGGGAACACTTATGGAAGTGAAAAGCAGGAACTGGCCCCTCAGCTGGAATTTATTTGTTCTTAAAACGTTTTGAGAAAGATCTGCAAAGTTCTTGTCATGGTTTTGAACAGGATTTGTGTTTTTGAGTTCCCTGAATGTTCTTCTTAGTGGCTGGAAAATTGAAAATGTTTTGCAAAACCAAATATTGCACCGAGAACGTTGTTCCTTTGTTGTCATGGGACATAGTGGGAATGTTTTGGACGTTCCATAATGTTTTCTTTAACATTCCCAAAACATTCTCAGAACACGACAGTGACACAGAATGTGCCACCTTTGTTTTAATATTACAGGAACATTTTATAAAAATCGGAAGCCTCGAAAACATCTGAACGTCCAAGGAACTGACAGACATTTCAGGAACGTTCTTCCTTGGAACATAACCGTTCAAACATACTCAGTTCACTTTTAACTTACTAGGAACATTAATGGAAGGACTAAATATCCTCAATTTCTTTTTTTTGTACATTAGATTTGATCTTTAAATTAACGTGATGTTAGAACACTTTTAACACCTTGTTTACACTCACCTTTGTGTTCTGTTCATTCCTACGAGAACCTCTGTGATCTGATGTGTTTCTAAAACTCTTCCTTCTGTTTTGTTCTGCTTGATGAAACATCAAGACATTCAAATTTCTGCAGTGGATTATTGACCCTGTGCAGCAAAAAGTTTGTTAAATTAGGATCATTCCATCCTAAATTACCACATTTTTAGACCGTCTCTGATCTGCCTGAAAGTTTTAGAGCATAAATACAGATATTTATATATATTTAGATTATCATATCAAATATTTTTAATTTTTTGGAAAAAAAAAAAGTCAGTCAATTCACTTTCAGCAAGTTTTTTCACACACTGAAATTCGAGGCTGTTTGACAAAAACAAATAGAGCTCATAACAACTATCTGTTCTGAGAAGATTCTGTTTAACCATCACCTTTATAATCCATCACTCACAGAGCCGGACGCTGGAGGAGCTTTGATTTGTGAAGGTCTAAATTCTCCAGATATCCTGCGTTGTGTCCGACCACTGCTCTCAGAAATAATCCCATCAGCAATGTGTACAGCTCAGTCTGTGACCAGCTGCTTGGTTCTGTGTTTGATAAGTGTGGACATACAACCATCTACTGCGGAATGAAGAGAACTGGATGTCGCCCATTTTCAAAGCTGCGGACACCAACACCAGAAATATGAATTAGCTCATGTTCTGTCCACAGAAAGCTCCTCATCTGCCTGAAACTCCAACTTTTCTTCTGCTACTTATCAACAGCGTCCACGTCAGAGCTGCATCCCGACAATCTGAGATCTAAGTTACTGACCAACGTTACCTGACTTTGGTTGATCAATCGGAGCATTTCAAACACAAGGGATGCAGCAAAGTAGCCTCTGAGGAAATGATGTGTTTTGAGACAATGAACAGTTTTCCCACAGAGTGAATCGTGTCCAGACGGTGATCCTGGTATCAAATGTGAGCAAATACGAGACCTTTCATTTGCTATAACTTCTTCTGACCAACCACCATCACACATGCTGACATGAGCCTTGAAGGTTTACCTAAAATACACTTATTTAAAGTTTTCTCTGGTCAATTACCAGAAAACACATCCAGGGTACCAGTGCTTGTTTCTACATCTATGCCATAGACATTAAACTGCTGCAGTTTTACTTTTCAAACTATGATACATCCCATAATATTGATGCTCAAAGTTGGTTATAGAGAAAACAAACAACAATCTGATTTAGTCTTTAGATCGTGACACCTGGATGGATGTTAAACTGAATTGGTTGCAGTTTTTTAACAGAACTCAAATGTGTTTTTCAGCCTTGATGATGAACGTGTCCATCTGCTGTACTGATGAAGTTATGAGGCTCAGAAATGATGGAAAACTTGCACAGCTTCATGACACACTCTGAAGTTACTTTAGATAAAGAATTGGCTAGAAGACCCCCGGTTCGCGTCCTGGTGAGGACACTCGGGATCCTTCTGTGTACAGTTTGCATGTTCTCCCCGTGCAGCGTGGGTTCGCTCCAGGTCCAAAAACATGTTGAGGTTAATTGGTGATTCTAAATTGTCTGTAGGTGTGAATGTGAGTGTGCTTGGTTGTCTGTCTCTAAGTGTAGCCCTGTGATAGACTGGTGACCTGTCCAGGGTGTCTCCTGCCTTCACCCTGAGTCGGCTGGGATAGACTCCAGCCCCCCGTGACCCTAGTGAGGATAAAGCGGTGTATAGATAATGGATAGATGACTCTGAGGAGGTCTGGGGCGATAAATATCTGATATCTGACTTTTACACTTCACTGTTTGAAGGACTTGATTTTAAGCAGTTTTCCCATCAAACCCAAGAGTTGTATAAGTTGTTAGAATAAAAATACAACACAAACTGAAGTTGCTGATTTAAATCGAAAACCATCATCAGTGAGGCATGAACCCGGTGAGGCGTTTGAGGGTCAGAATCAGGGTGGGTTTTTTCAGACAGGTGTACCATCAGCCCCACCCACTGTTTTATTGACAGGTGACTGATTCGTCCTTCAGTGAGCACATACATCACTCATGTGTCCACTTTGACATCATGGAGGAGACCCCACAGGGCGCTCCAGTGTTCCCAGTGTTCCCAGTGTCAGTCCTTCAGACACCGGCTGGTTCCAGTGAAACCTCGTAGTAGTTCAGTAGTCGTCACGGTAACGCTCCTCTCCTTCTTCTTCTGTTTTTATTTTTTTGGTAGTTGGAGCAGCGTCGCCTCCAGGATCCTGTTTCCTCACATCAACTGTTCAAAGGTTCTGCAGCAGAGCGGCCCGGTGAAACCCAACCAGAACCGTGTGATCTGCTGTCAGGTGAGCACAGGTGTGAAAGGAGGCGGAGTCTGATCTGCCAGCAGCTCATTTAAAAATGTGACATCAGAGAAACTACTTAGATTTTCCTGAAAACGTTTTTAAATTAATCTCAACTATTTTGATAATCAATTCATCCATCTGAGAAGTTTCTTAATTAAAAAAAAAAAAAAAAACAATCTAAATTCTGTGATTGCAGCGTCTTTTGGTTTCTTTCCTCCTCTATGACTGTAAACTGAACATCTTTGGACAAAACAAGTGAAACAACTTTTAGTTGCGGCTCTAGAAAGAACCTCCATCCAACTAAACTCCATGTGAAAAAGTTTCACTATACATCCAGGCAGAGAAAGTCGTCCTGATTTTCAACTCAGCTTTGGTCGCCTCCAGCAGATTTTAGAAGTAAGTCAGAGGTTCTACAGTTTTCAGCAAATAATGAAAGCTACCAACTTCATGTTGACAGTCGAGCTGCAATGATACATAAATTAGTTGTCATTATTTTGATAACTGATTTGAGTTTGTTTTGTTTTTTTTAAAAAATAAAAAAAAGTCTAAATTCAGTGATTGAAGCTCCCTAAATGTGATTGTTTTCTGTTTCTTTTCTCCTTGATGATGGTAAATTGATCGTCTTTGATCAAAACGAGACATTTGTTGAAACAGTGATCCACATTTTTTTGTTTTTTTGCCATTTTCTGATATTTTAGAAGCCAAACAGCTAATTGACTCATCCAGAAGACAATCAATGATGAAAACAATCATTATTTGGAAATCTAGAATGAACCAAACTCCATTCGAGCATCTTGTTGTGTCCCAGTATCAGTAACATCCTACACCTGCATTCAGACTCCTCCTCCCACACACCTGCACACGTCAGAGCTACAGGTGAACAACAACATGTGATGATGCTGAAGCAAAACATCAGCAAGATTCCAGCCGTGCAGCAGATAAACACTCAAGTTGCCTCCTGACTTTAGGAGCAGCAGCAGCTCTGTGCTGGACCTGGAGACCTTCTGCTGCTATAAGCTCCGGTAAAGACACTAAACGGGCGTCGGGCTGAGATTAGTTGTTCTGCTGCTGCTGCTTCCAGAGTGAGGATGAAACATGTGAACACCATGACAGATGGGCGAAAGCTCCAGAAAGGACCTGGTGGTGTCAAAAGTGAAGCTTCCCAGATGTTCTCCAGATGTTTCAGCCTCGTCACCGATCTGCAGACAGTTCAGAACTTATGGAAGTAGATCAGTGACGAAGCTTCAGCCCAACTCAGAGTCCAAACCGCACATTTTTCTTCTTTTCAGGTGAGAAACTGAGCATGTATATTTTACGATAGAGACTACGTCTCATTTTTTTTATTTTTTAAGCAAAATGTGAAGGTGAGATCTTTCAGTTAGTCTTTTGACTATCAACTAATCTGCCGACCAATAATCATTTGTTCAGTAAAACATGAGAAAATGATGAAAATTTCCAAAGTCACAACAAAAAGGTTCCATTTACAGACAAAAAGACGAAGAAAGAAACTGATTCTTACAATAAGGAGCCTCGACCCGAGAACATATTTGACAGATTTCTAAAAAAAAAAAAAACCTGCTTTCATTATTATTTGACTTTAAAACGGTTTCTTCCATATTGAAGGAGATCTGAGCACCTTCAGCAGAGTCAGAACAAACAAACTTCTTCCCCAGAATGAAATTCACATTGAAGTGTTGAAGTGTTGCAGGAGCTCTGGGAGCAGAGACTGAGTTTCAAATCAAGTGTTTCAGCAGAGTTAAAGCTCGGTGGACTTTTATAGTGTCTGTGGCGTCTCCAGCTCTTTTCAACACTAAAACGCGGCTGCTCTGGCGTTAGCTAAGGCTAACAGCTAGCTTCAAAGAGCCACCGCAGTTTGTTTATCGTCATTTTTCAGGCGTTTCAGGACAAATTGTTGTCTTCAGCTCAGCGACTCAGTAAAACATTTCACAGCTAAATTTAAAGCTGTGGAAGCTTTTTATATATATATATGTATATATTTGACTTGTAATGAAGGGATGTGTTATTAACGGAGCTGGTTGGTTTATAAAGTGCTTCATCGTGTTGTTTTGAATGTTGCTGTTTGAATGAACTCTGCAGGATAATTAATCAGCTTATTAGTAATATATTTAGCCTGTAAAACTTTCACATTTCTGTTCTGTTCAACCATAAGTTCAAAATCCTAAAACGGTTTTCTGCTCCTCTAATGAAGGTTTGGAACTTTTCATCATTTTTCTTCACTGACTATAAAAACTACTGATTATTTTTATTGACTGCTTTATGGATTTATTTTGCAAGTTACAACTTTTCAGTGCTCAGACATTGTCTATTTGTGGCCATTTTGTGTGTCTTTGATTGTCATTTTATGTCTAATTGATGTCATTTTTTGTGTCTTTGCCATTGTTTTGTCATTTTTTTGTCATTTTGTGTGATTGTTGTCATTTTTTGGTCTCTGGAATTTAGTCTTTGACATATTGAGTCTTTGTTGTCTCCTTTGTTTGTGTATTTTTTGTCATTTTTTGAGTCTTTGTGGTCATGTTATATCACATTATTGTCACATTGTGGGTCTTTTTTTGTAATTTTGTGTGTTTTTGTTCTCATTTTGTCATTTTGTGTATCCTTGTGGTTATTGTGTGTCTTTGTCATAATTTTGTGTCTCTTTGTTGTCAAGTCTTTCGTCCTTCTACGTCTCTTAGTGGTCATTTTATATCACATTGTTGTCACTTTGTGGGATTTCTTTGTCAGTTTAGGTATCTTTGCCGTCAGTTTGTTGTTTTTTAGTCATTTTTTGTCTCATTATTGTCATTGTGTGTCTTTAATAATTTAATGTAATAATGTCATGTCTCTTTGTTGTCATTATGTGCGTCTGCGTCATAATTTTTTGAGCATATTTTGTCATTTAGTTGTTTTTTGCAGTTGTTTGGGTTTTTTTTTCACAGTTTCACTCTGAAAGTGTCTCGCGGACTCTGAGTTGGACTCTTCCTCGGCACTTTGGACCTGCAGACAGTCGAGTTCTGACTCGCTTCCGTTGTTAGATTGAAAGCGCGGCGACGTTCAAGTGGCCGTCAGAGGTCACATGATCCTGGACGAGAGCCGCGGTTTGTCCTCACTGAGGCTCTTTTGGAGATTTTAGCGTCTTTGCTAACGTCCTTCAGTCCGGCTGCTCAGTGATGACATCAGAGAGAGGCGGAGTCTCCACATCCCCTGTCCCTCCCCTGGCGACTCCCCGTGAGCCAATCAGAGAGCCCGGAAGAGGACGGATCATCTGAAACCCGCCCGGATACAGGACTGAGCAGAGCGAGCTGATTGGCTGCAGTTTGAAAGTTTGAACGTCCTTCAGAGTCCAAGAAACAAAGAAAAGAAAAGATCTGAAGAAGAAAAATAAGAAGAAGAGAGTTTCATTAGTTCAGTCAAATTATTATTATTATTATCATTATTAAAATTTGGTCTATGTCTTGTGTGATTGTTTTATTAGTTTGGTTAAGGCATCATGCAGCCTGTTGACAACCAGAGGGTGACTGATGTTCTTCAGTCTGGAAAATTAAATCTTGCTCTTGTTCCAATGCATCTAACAGTTTAGTTTTTTTTACAGAATAATATAATTAAACTGGCCAATCAGCAGTTACAAACTTTAGTGATAAGCAACAGTTAACTGGGGATTTTTTTTTTTACATGGAACCCTTTAAGGACCTCAGTGTGTTTTAAGATGACGTCTGAGGCCCAAAAACAACAGCTACAGTTCATCTGTTCTCAGTCTCATGTCTGTGTGTAGCTTAGCTTAGCATAAAGAGCTAGCCTGCTTCAACACACACCTGTAGACACACACAAATTTCTGTGACAGAACTCGAGTAAAACATTATAATATGACTACAAGGTACACAAAATAACCACAAAATGACGCAAAGTGACACAAAAACCATGTCCCTGAAAGTCAAACTGTCCCTTCAGTTTGTGCACAGTGGAAGTTGTGATAAAGTTGTGTAGAACACTGTGTGTTTAATGAACTGGACTCACGCTGTCTCTGGGCTCCGGTGCTACGTTTGGGACTCGACCCCCGGCTGGCTGCTTTGCTCGGGGCTCTGCTCCTTCACCTCCCTCTGCTCCTTCAGCACCTTCAGCGTCGGGCTGATCTCCTCCTCTGGGTCGTAATAGTAGAACTTCCTCAGGTAGGCGATCAGAGGCCTGAAGGAAGCAGGTCAGAGGTCAGCGGCTGCATCACCTGTTGCCCTTTAAATCTAATGTTCTAACAAAGTTTACCACTTTCTAAATACACAAACAGCAAATTTACATTCACTGGCTAAAAGTATATGGACAACTGAAGCTTGTAGCCACGTGTGTTACTAAAGAGCTAGCCAAAAGCGACGGCCATATATTTTTGAGCACGTCAGCTCAACAATAACAAATCCTGAATCCTGACCGGGTTTCAGGACTGAGTTCAGATGTGGACTGAGGTCACAGACAGGTGTGTGAACAGGTACGTACGTGGGCAGCGGCAGCTCCTGGATGTGGTCGATTCGGACCAGCTGCCGGATGCAGAAGCGACAGAGATGCTGCAGAGATTTAACGCTGCTAAACCTGGAGACGGGATACAGGAGCTGGACTGGGGTGGGGGGCAGGCCTGAGAACACACAGGTGGAGAACATCATGAGAACATGTGCGGCTGCTCGCTGAAACTCAAACTGAGAACAGCTCAGAGAAGAATCAGAGTCAGTGTCCATATGTTTTAGCCAATGTAAGTGGCTCAGGTGGACATTCAGTTTAAATATATTGGCCATAAATATGTGGACAAAATATGTTTACAGCCACATACATTAATACAGACTTAGCTCCCAACTATGTCCACATATTTTAGGTCACTTGTCTTGGCCACTCAGTATATTTGGCCAAGGTAGACATCCAGTTTAAATATGCAGGCCAAAAGTACATGGACAAAGGAAGCTTAAAGTCAAATGTGTTCATATTGAACCGTGAAGCATGTGCATATATTTTTGTGAAAACAGTTTCTATACTGGGAAATAAAATCACTAAACGGCCAAAAGTATGTGGACACCTGAATGTTTTGGACAAATGCATTAAAATCAAGGTGGAATAATGTGTGTCCATATATTTATTGAACAAGAGCTGTTTCATGTTGCCCTTTGTTTTTGGTTCAATTTGAAGTATTTCTCATGTTCAAGTGCGTCGTAGTCCTGCCTGTGAGGGTGGACAGTGTGAGCTGATTACCTGGGACTCGCGAGCGCAGAAAGTAAAGGAACTTCCCGTTCTTGGAGTGCATGATGGCTCTTTCTATGAACTCCACCACAGAGTGACATCGATCCTCGAACTTGGGGTGACACCACAGACTGAAGGTTCCTGCAGGGACAGAAGAACCTTAATGCTGCCCCCTAGAGGCACCATGTGACCTCGTGTGTTCGTTAAAAGAATAAAAAGTCACATTTTTTTAAAATAAAGAGTGAAAATGTAAAATTGGAAAATAAACCTGGACACACACACACACACACACACACACACAAACACACCTCACCTGGACACACACTGAATATCAAGAACCCCACAGGGGCCATGTGACCTCAGGGGTGTGTGTTACCTCTGTAGTGCTCCATGCGTGTGTGGTGCGTGACACCCTGCGACCTAAAGCTCAGACTCAGGATGTATCGAGGATCCGAACTGTCCCGGACCAGAAAAGAACCGTCCGGTTTCCCTTTCAGCTTCATCTCTGCGTCCTCCCAGTTCATTGGACCCCAGTACCAGCCACACTGCAAACACACACAGGTTAGCTCCGCGCCCCTATCGCCACATCCCACAACGTCAGAAACAAAGAGGCCCTACCTTCTCCAGCTCTCTGAGGCTGGTGGCGAAGCTGCCCGCATCAGGTCGACTGAGGGGGCAGCGAGGGGCAAGTCGGGGCGGAGGGTGACCATCGGGACGCAGCGGTATCGGTCGGGGTAAACCTCTCAGGAAGGTGTCTGACGAAACACAGGACGAACACAAATTTTAAGAACAGAGTAAAAGTAAAGACGAAAATAACTTCAAATTAAAGAATAGTCTGAAATATGAGATTAAAAAAAAAAAAACTAAAAACAAAAAAAAAACAAGTCGAAATTGGAATTAACAAGTAAAGTTTCTAAAAGAAGGGAAGACGTCAGAATTTTTGAACAAAAAAACAGCAATAATAAAAACGCAAAATTTGACAGCTTTTAAAAATAAAAGAATCTAAATCTGAAGTAAACGTCTTTTAAAAGAAAAAAGGGCAAAATTAAAATATACAAACCAAATTAAAGATATGAAGTACAGAATTTGAAATAAAAAGCTCGTTTTCTTCAACTAGAGGCCATTACAGTTTCTACAGTGTTCAATAAATTCAATTCTAGACCTTTCTGATAAAACATCAAATGAACTTTAAGACCATTTCCAGTGACACAGTTTAAAGAATGACTGAATCCAGCAGGAAATATCAGGCCTACAGTTACATACATTTAATAATTGAATGACGATTTACTTTTGTTGAATATCCAGCTGTATAAATCCTTACTCATGATAAATTAACATGGCTTGAGCAGAAAATGAATTGTTTAAATAAAACAGGGACACATTAGTTAACTATTATGTAGTGTTCTGGTGTTTTACCGTTGAGGCTCAGGCTGTGTTGGATGGTGCTGAGGGAGGGAGGCAGCGCCATCGGTCGGGGGGGCAGAGACTGCATGGAGGCCCCAACGCTGCGCTCAATAAAGGGCCCCTGGTGCTGAGGAGGACCCCCGAAATCATCTGGAGGTCAGAGACAGAACAACAGCTGATCCACGATTCGAAAATATAAATGTATACAAATCTGCAAGTTTTGCAGTTTGTTCTGTAGGTGTAGCTGTGCTCTGCAGGTGTTAAAGTTTGTTCTGTATGTGTTACAGTTTGTTCTGTATGTGTTACAGTTTGTTCTGCAGGTGTTAGTTTGTTCTGTAGGGGTAACAGTGTGCTCTGCAGGTGTTACAGTTTGTCCTGTAGTGGTTAGAGAGCAGAGAAACAACATATGCGGGTTGAACTTTGATTCATGCCCCTGTAGTTTCTGTGATCATAAATCCTCTGTATTTAAATTGTTATTACCTGGTTATTACAGGCCTTGTTAGCAGCTGATTTGTTAAGTGTTCAGTGAAATAAAAACAGGAAGAAGAAAAAGTAAACCTTCGATGTTCGAAGTTTCGCAAGACTCAAACTAAATAAATTGACTCAGATTGAGTAAATCGAGCCAGAATGAATAAATTCCGTCAGATAACATGGAGGTTTCTCCTACCTGAGAGCCACCTGCAGAGCGTGAGGACAGACTGACCGACAGACACAGACAAACAGAAAGAAGAACAGAAAGCAAAAGCAGAAGAAGTGAAGTACCGAGAAGACTGAGGCTCCGCCTGGGAGGGGGAGGGGGGGTGGGGGGGTGCAGGGAGCTTCCCCCCCTGCGAGAAATGTCCACATCAACCAGAGACACCGTCTCACCTGGAGGACAGGTGACAGACAGGCGAGAGACAGGTGACAGAGTTAGAGCAGGAGGAAATGTTAGTGTGAGGGGGAAAAGGACAAACACAAACAAACAAACAAACACAAACACACACACAGACACACACACACACACACACACCTGTACAGGTGCGAACTCACCGGTGAAAGCAGGAGTGAAGGGCACCGGAGAGAAGGCACTGTGAGGTCTGGAAACCTGCAGCCTGACACACAAACACCAGGGTTTATAACTGACACTAAAGCTGTACCTTCATCTTCACCACCACCACCACCACCACCACCACCATCATCATCATCATCATCATCATCATCTCCATCATCATCCTCATTGCCATCACCACCACCACCACCACCACCACCATCATCATCATCATCATCATGTCATTCTCAGCTGCTCTCACCTGTACAAGTGCTTTTAGTTACCATGGTTACCGATTTGCGACAGGTGAGCCAAGTGATGACATCAGTCTCACCTGACATGCCACCTCCCCCGCACTCTGTGCTTCTCAAAAATCCAAACTGTGTTGCCATAGAGATGAGCTCCGTCTCGTCAGCTTCATCTGCTCTGACTGAGAGGATGCTGTCGTCGCAGCAACGACTCCTCCCTCTCTCTCTCCCTCCCTCCCTCTCTGCTGAGCAACCAGGATGCCGATCACCATGACAACATTCGGAGTCAAGTGAAGTTTGTTGGATTTGCGGTAAAATTATTATATTTTTTTCTGATTTAAACACACTAAAAATAGGTAAACACTGTAAAAATACATTTTAAAAAAAAATTACCACTTGTAACATGGAATCATTAAATATTTCTAAGTCTAAAGTTACTGAAACATCTAATCAGAATTTTAAATCTGTTCACTCTTCTGTTGCTGATCTAATGTGCAGAATGATAAAAAAGTGACACAAAGCAACCAGAAAGTGGCATGAAACAATGCAGAGCAACCAAAAAATGACACAAAATGACCAGAAAATTATACCAACATGATCAGACAGCAATGCAAAACGATCAAAAAGCAAAACAAAATGACCTATAAGTGACACAAAGTAACAATAAAGTGGCAAAATGACCATAAAATGACACAAAATAAAAGGCAAGTGATGCAAAATAACCAGACAGCAAAACAAAATTGTGCATTTTAGAGACGAAACAGCTGATCTGAAAGTAATAAAAAGCGGCAGAATCTTCTGACTTCCAGCAGCTCAGAGTTTCTTACAGAAAACAAAATTAAGTTCAGCAGCAACTATTGGAGACCATTTTAATAATTGATTTAGTCATTTTCAGGTCAACACGGTGGAAAAAGAGACTGAGATGTCCGAAGACAACATTTTCAGCTCTGTGAAAAAGTTTTCATCATTTTAGTGAGTTTTTTGAACAAAAAAGTCTGAAAATTTCCTGCTTCGAACTAAATATTTTCACTCTGGGCTGTGGCGCTAATTAATCAGTTCATTATTTTGCTTATAAAATGTCAGAGATGAGGCGGTTACAGCGACATTAAGGTGTTGTTTTTAAATGTTAAGTTTCCTCACCTGTTCAAAATACAAAAATATTCATTTTATTATCTTTATATTCTTAGATCAAATCTTCACATTCAAGAAGCTGAAAAGACAAAGTATTTGACTTTTTTTTTTTTTTTACAAAAAGAATTGATTATTTCAACATTAAAATAGCTGCTGATAAACTGTTGCTGCTTGTTCAGGACTGATATAAACTTGACTGATCAATCAATCAGGTCTGATTTAACCCTCACCAAGTGATTGATTAGATCTGATATAAACCATACCAATCAACTAACCAGTACGATATACACCTCATCGTCGATCGATCAGGTCTGATATAAACCTTACTGATCAATCGATCTGGTCTGATATGGCACTCAGTGATTGATTGATCAGGTCTGGTATAAACCACACTAATCAATTGATCATGTCTGATATAACAAACTCTCATACCAAGTGACTGATCAGGTCTGAAATAAACCACACTGGTCAACTGACCAGTTTGATACAGACCTCCATGATTGCTTGATCAGGTCTGATATGCACCTCACTGATCAATTGATCAGGTCTACCATATCCCTCCCTAATCGGCTGATCTTGTCTGATATAAACCACCTTGATTGATAAGGTCTGACATAAATATCACTGATTGATTGATCCAGTTTGATGTAAACCACACTGATTGAACAATCAGGTCTGATAAACCACATCAATTGATCAGGTCTGATAAACCCTCACTGATCAATGGAACAGGACTGATAAGGCTCACCTGCTGGCGTCCTGCTCCGTGTTGCTGCAGGTGGACCCCCACACGTCCAGCAGACTCCCCCCAGACGAGGTGGATGAAGCCAGGGACGGCCTCTTGTCCAGCAGCCCCCCCGACCCGCCGCTGGAGCTCTTGGTTCTGAACAGCTTGCTAAGACGGACCTTCAGGGACCCCCCCTTCCTGGACTTTCCTCGTGGCGTCTTCTCCCCCTCCCTCCCACCTCCTCCCCCAATCTCCCCCTCCAGGACCACTAGGGGGGAGGCAGACCGACCCGGCCCACACGATGCCACGCCAAGCTTGGGGGTCGCAGCCCGGCTCTGCGGCTGGGATCGAGACTGGTGCTGATGCTGCGGGCGGGGGGCCGGGCCTGGGCCAGAGGCCGGGAGAGGGTCAGGTGAAGCTTGGAGCCCACTGAGGGCAGCGGTGGCCTGGGGGGCCTGCGGGCGGACAGGTGGGTAAGGGCAAGAGGCAGTGCCGAGGGAGGGGAGGACGGCCAGCGAGGAGCGGCAACTCTGATCCGTGCAGACCCCCGCCTCCTCTGCCAGCCGGTGGACCTGCCGCATCAGCCCACTCAGTGTCCCGCTGGAGAACACCGGTCCTGCACCTCCAGGGGGCCTCCCTCCACCAACTCCCCCTACCTCTCTTTTGTCGGTATCCCCCATGTCCTCGCCGTCCCCGCCCCGCCCCAGCCCCCCCACCTCCTCGGACCCCAGACCCTCCAGGACCAGCAGGGCATCGCTGGTCTCACTCGGGTCCTCCCCGGGCCCCATGCCCCCTGGCCCCGGGGCCAGGACGCTGTGGCAGGAGCAGCGAGGAAGGGGGAGCACCATGTCCTCTCCCCCGCCTCCCTCCCTCCCCTCACCCAGCTGACCCAGCCTCCGGGCCAGAGCCAGAACCGGATCCTCGCTCCCTGGGGGGCAGCTCTTCCTGGGCTCCAGGAGCCCCATGCGCAGGGCTTGATCCAGCAGGCCTGGGGGCCACTTTGCCAGCCGGTCTGTCAGCAGGCGGTGTCTATGGCACAGGACAGACCCGGGGTCAGAGTCCAGAGCCGGGATGCCCTGCTGGGGGTTCTGGGAGCCGTCGGAGCCTTTGGACAGCCGGAGCACCGGGTGCCACTGCAGAAGCTGCGGCTGCGCCTGCAGGCCGTCCTCTGTGGGGGGGATGCAGTGGGAGTTCTGGTCCCTCCCGCCTCCGGGCCCGGCCGTGGTGCCTCCAGGACCGGTCCCTGAGCCCGGGTCCAGCTGCTGTCTCTGCTCCTCCTGCAGGAACCCTGGGGGCGGCTGCTCCAACCCGCACTCCAGGATCCGGTCTCCAGAACGCAGCAAGTTCTGGAACACCATCAGCTGCGCTCTAGACCCGGGCCCCCCCGGGCCGTGTCCGTGGGGCACCGGGAAGTCCACGAACCGCTGGGCCGCTACGGCAAAGTCCTCGGGCGGCGGAGGGGACAGCGGCGCCTCGGAGCCCGGCGGGGCCTGCGTCAACACCAGCCCGCCGTCCAGCTCGCCTTTCCCGGGGAGCGGCGAGCTGTAGTGCGGGGACGCCGAGCCGAGGCCTGCCGAGGGGCCGCCGGAGTCCAGCTCAAACCCGCCGCCGCGGTGTCCCAGCGCCGCTTTGACGGGCCCGAAGCCGCCGCCTCCGGACATCAGGTCGTCGGGCTCGTCCAGCCGGTCGTACTCGGCGGCGGACACGAGCCGCATCAGGACGAAGTCCGGAGACATTTCTTGCTGCGCGTCATTCATGGCGGCGGGCTAACGTTAGCTGCTCGGCTACCTCCGTCTTACATAACAGCCACATACATAAACAGCTGCGGAGCTAACGGCGGCTAGCTGCGGCATCTCCCCGCCGAGCTACCCGGGAAGCCCGGCCGAGCACCGACCCGCAGCCATGTGTAGTCCGGACCGGTTGGTGACGGTAACGGCTCCGCTGGACAACGTCAGAACATGAAGGGACATGAAGAACCGGGCCGGTGCCGCCGCTCCGTGACGTTAGCGGTTAGCCTCCTACCGACTCATCCTCCGGTCAGACAACATGGATGTGATGATGAGGGGGGACGGGGGGCGGCTGCGCAGGCGGCATCAATAATCGATCAGACTGATTGATAAACAGAAACCTCATCAGTTGAATACGAACGGAGAGCCCGACCTGAGGGTCCGAACCCCCCCTCTCTGAGCCCGGTTATTACAACAATATTATGATTATGATCAATAATAATAATAATAATAATAACAATAATAACAACAATGATAAAAACCGTATCATCACCATCACAATAAAGGTTTTCAAATGTTCCAGATTATAATTAAGTGACATTTAATTGGTCTGATAGTTTGTATAACTGATTTATATTTAACTTTATTTTGGTTCAGGTTTTATTTGTTGTTTCGCTTTAGACCTTTGTTGTTTTTTGTGATGACTTTGTGCTATTTTATTTTATGCTTTTGACCCAAAGAGCAGCTGAACTACCTTTTGCTCTTGTTTAAAAATGACAAAAAAGATCTATTTTTTTAAATCCGTTTTTGGTCTCCTTTGTATTGTTGGATTATTTAATAACTTTTTAAAACTTATATTTATATGTTGTAGTACTAATATTTAGTAGTTTTTTGTACATTTTATTTTATATTTTTTGTACATTTTATTTTAGATTTTTTATATTTTCTAGTATTCGCTTTTGTTGTACTTTCTAGTCTTTGCAGTATTTTATTTTCTCGTTTATTTTACTTATTTGTTGCATTTTATTATGTAGCATTTAATTTTCATTGTATCATATTGTATAGCATTTTATTTTGGAACACTTACTGAGCAACTGCGGAAGCTTTCAGCTGCATCTCTTGTTCTTCTTCAGTGGCTGGAACTGATCAGGTGACCTGGGCGGCTGGAGGCCTTCATTCAGTTCAATTTACTTTTTATTTTTATTTTTTTATTTTTATAACGCTCGTTCACAACATATGTCATCTCATAGCACTTCACATAAAGGGGCGAGAGAAAAAAAAAATCATCCAACAGAACCAGGCTCAGGGAAGGCGGGCATCTGCCTCCACCTGTTGGGGACATTAGGGTCACGTGATCACAGGTGACTTAAACTCCCAACACACTTCAATCCTCAGCATGACATCACTTCTTCCCGTTTTATTTTCCATGTGAGTTCTGTTGTTCGATGTCTGAATCGAAGCTGCACTGTTTCTCTCTCTTACCTGTTTGATGGTTTAAATGTCAAATTAAATCACGTTCCAATCATTTTTAATTAATAAAAAGCTGATTTAAAGTTCCCTTTTTAAAACTTCTTGAAAGCTCTTTGCTGTCCCTGCTGACTAACTTATTGTCACCTGGAGTCACAGGAGCAGAAAAAAAACTAAATAACATCTTGTTGTCAGCTGTTTTTTTTTAGGAATGAAGCGCTCTGTACAGCAGCAGCAGCAGCGCCCCCTGCTGTGTGGAGGCCTCTGCAGTTTTCATGTTAACACATTCAATTGAAATCAGAATTATCAGAAGTTTGAAAGTTACAAATGTGTACAAAAAAAACAACAGATCTCAGCCCTTCAGCAAGACGTTAAATTATATAACGCTATTCACCAGGACAGTCAACTTGAACGCGGCTTCAGACTCTGAAAAGGCCACGTCTTCTTCTGCATTGTGGAAATTATTATTTTTTTAAAGTAAAAACTAGACTGCATGTATGAGAAACTGCTGGTGTGATCACAGCCGGACAGTTTGAAATTAGAAGCATGTTTCAAGCTCCATTTTTTAAAAAATCTTTTGAAATATAGCACCCAGTTGTGGGGAAACTGCATGTGGCCCAATGTGGTATTACCTTGAAGTATTGACGAATAATAAGAACATCGCAGTTTGAATTTATTTGACCACACACATAGCTTTGCTAGCTAATTGCTGAAAAACTATTTGTTTCAAATCAAACTTCTCTGTGACGTTCAGGTTCCTTGAAATGTGTTGCGAACAAAGTTTAATGATGGTTTGGATGAAATATGTTGAACAGGCCATGAAAAACGACAAAAAAATTAAAATGGAGGACAAACGTAAGGCACATCAAACCCTTTGTGTGGCCTTGTAAAGCCAAGACATGTTTCAGAAATGAGCATTGAGCGATTTGCAGATATCGACATCAAAACAGCTAGCATTTGACTGTATGGTTAAGCTTGTAGCTCTGGAGCAATGTTTCCACCTGTGAGCGTCTATGACTCAATGTACGACAACAACAAAAAAAAACAAAGACATCACATATGGATGCAAATTTTTAAGCAATTTTCTTAACCGATAGTAGCAATGAATAATCCTCTTATCACTACTGTAAATACAGATGGCAGTTCTACACAAGCCAATTTTATCTATTTTAAGCCCAGACATGTACAACTGCAGCTTCATCAAATTAACAAGGTTTAAAATATCATCCTCCTGTAAACTATGCAAATGTGTGGGCTCATTAACCTCCACAGACGTCTCTGTCATGGTGGCCCTTTACTGCTAAAACCCCTGATGCACTCTGTATTTTGAGTGGCACCTCCTCTGGTCTCTACAGCACTGAACAGTAAGAGGCTCCACCTGGTGGTACAACCATGTATTACACCTGAGCTACAATACATTCTCTGACATGCATAACCTTCTACAATATTGCTTTGAGCCATCAGGTGAATAAACAGAAATTACTCATGTTTCAGACTGTTGGTCAGAAGAAGCAGCAGCAGCAGCAGGTTCAGTACAATATAGACTTTATTAGTTCACTAAAGTTGAATATGAAATAAAAAGCAGATTGGCTTTAAATGATTCACAATTCAATAATAATCGAGTTGCCAGGTTCATCATGTCACCACAGCGCCTCCACAGAATCAGAGCCCTCCGAGGCTGCATCACTTCGCCTTCAGCTCACCTGTTTTCTGTGAGAGCGGCTGAAGGCGCAGTGATGCAGCCGCGGCGTGGAGGCGGGCAGGCGGCACTGAGCGTGCTCACAGGATTCTGCAGCGTCTAAGCTTTGTGTCAGACGTGATTCTCACACCAACTACAAACTCCCAACAAAAAGTAATCCGGCGACGAGGAGCGGCCGCCAAGCCGCCGAACACAAAAACAAGAAAAACAACAAAAATCATGGTTCTTTGTGGCGTCGAGTAAACAAACCGACAGTGGGAGGCGGCCAGAGTTCAGCATCCAATCAGCAGAGTCCAAAAGTCCAGGAGTCCAACAGACAAGAAGAGCGAAATCACCAGAACTGCTTGGGGAATGTTTCATATCATTTTATTGTTTTTAATTGTATTTTCATCATAGCAATGGAAAAATATAACCTTATACAAACGTCTTCAATTCTCTGAAATCTTTTTAAACAAGCAAAAATGGTGAGTGACCCTTTCCCAAACAAAAACTGCAGCAGCTCGCCGCCCGCCGCCGGCTTTCAGCGTTGCTAAACTATTTCCATTTGGCACTCGCTCCGCTCAGCATTCTGATGAAGGTTTGTTTAATTTAGTGCTGCCGTTGTCTGATAAGAGCGCCGCACACGGAGGCGTCCGTCCGCCGAGGCTCCATCGCCGTTTTAGTGCTCAGAAGAAGAAGAAGAAAAGTAAGAGCAACAAAAATTTCCACAGAAGAAGAAGTCCACGAAGGTTCAGCTTCACTAAAGGCCCCTCCTCCCCCCCCTCCCGCGGCATGGGGGGGCGGCGGCGGCGGGTCGGTGACGTGATGTCGTAGGAGAGCCCGGCGACACGGCGAGAGGAGGGGGAGGGGCTCCGAGGAGGGGGCAAGGTTACTTTAACCGGGAGGAGGGGGGAAGGGGGGCGCCGGCTGGAACTGAAGGTGGTGTGATGTCATCATCTCGCTCGCTCGCTCGCTCACACGTCTCTCTCGCTCACACAGACACTCATCATCATCATCATCATCATCATGTCACTTCCTGCTGCGACACGATTCGACACAGAAGAGTCAAATCCAGGAAGAGATTCTCCTCATTGTTCACTGATGTCTCTCTACCAAAGGCTCTCTCTCTCTGTCCCCGACCGAAACAATCTGCAGGAGGAGAAGGACGAAGAGAAGAAGGAGAAACAGAAGTCGTAGTCAGCAGCCGGACCAACAGTGAACCAGTTTCAGACATCAACAGTAACTTTAAAGAGTGCATCATCTTTAAAGAACATCAGAACCTGGATTTCTAATGTTCTGATGATCCTTCAACAGGCTCCAGACCAACTTCTTCACTGTCAGTTAGTTGCACCGCTCACTTGTCAGTATCGATAGATGCCACATTTACCGATGGTCCCTAAACGCCTCCCACTGCAGGCTGTGATATTTGCTGCTTGGTGGCTGCGGTGTGCTCAGACAGTTGTGTGAGCAAAAAGTAGTTTGAAAAGAGTAAAATAAAGTGTTCTAAAGTCAGATTTATCTGAGATGAAACAGTGATTTGATCCACATGCGCTCTTTTCTATGAGCGGAGGAAACGGTGTACATAAGTATGCTACGCCTTTTATGAGCGGATCACATTTTAAAACATAAAGACGACACTCAATCATTCTCTTATAGTGGCTTGAAGCTGTGATCAAGAATTATGTAATTTTGCCGCCCGACTATTGCGTAAGCGGTTGTTACAGGACGGCTCTCCGGCTCAGTATCCTTCTGCCTGCACTCTGATCACCAGGTGAGTCTGAGCTGAACCTCTCCTTCTCTTCTGGTTGAGGAACACACATCAGCTCAGGAGCTCGTTTTATGAATCAGGCAGAAACAGACTGACACACTCACAGAGGAAATAAAAGAGCTGATTTCAATCACTGTGGCTAACGCAGTAGCTGCCTGTGCCGATTACAGGGACAACGTAACAGCTAAATGATCACGAAAAACAGGTCACATATGCAACCATTTTGGTCACAGTCTGGAGGCCTGACCTTAAATGTGTCAGCTCTGACCTGCTGTTGCATCAGGAAACTGAACCAAAAATAAAGTGTCTGGACTTAAACTGGTCCTTTAGTTCGGCTCACAATAAATAACAGAACGCTGATTTTTTTTCACTATAGTTTGGTAACAATATTTAGCTGCCAAACTGCCAAAAAAAAAATAAAAAATCTAAAATGATGAGAGTTGAAAAATTCAATGAGGTGTCCACACTTTAACAAACTTTTGTTGTGAAAGCCTGCAGCACATTGCTACAGGAAAAAATGAAGGAGTCAGAGTGATGAATGTCAGAATCAAAGAAGAATCCTCATTTAGAGAATCCTGTTGTGTCCCGTGTCAGATGTGCGACTCACCAGGCCTGGCTCTTGAGCTTGCGCAGCTCCTTGGTGGCCCAGGTCGCCAGTGTCTTGGTCTTGGTGGTTTTGGAGCGTCGACCCTCCGTCAGCAGGTCGTTGATGAGCGGACGAACCTCCACCAGCTTCATCACGTCTTTACCGAACGCCGTGCACAAGTCGCTGAGGACGCACAACAACACAACAGG